CTGTTAAATATTAATTTTTTTCCTCTAAAAGCCATTATAATCGGAGAATTATAAATTCTCGTACAAAGCCTCCGTAAGTCGAATTTTCATGTGTTAACTAGGGCTGGTGATTTCCTTTGAAGGCTTCAAAGGTTTCGAAAAATCGGCATTGAAATCTTCGAAATTCGAAGCTTTGAAACTTCGAAACTTCGATACTTTAAACTTCGAAATTCAAAATTATACAATTATTAATTTAATACAATAATAATGTGATAGGTATATATATTTGTAAAAATATACGATTAAATCTAAAATAAAACGATTTAATGTTGTAATTACGTGGTTAAATTGAAAAATACGTAGTTTTAATTGATTTTTTGATTCTAAATTGTCTGTTCTTACAATTGTTTTTTTTGCTGAGGAAATTTAATAAACAACGTGATTTTTTAAAATTTTCTTAATTGGATTGTTTTATTGATTGATATTTATCTTTCCTTATTTACTTATGTGTCGAGTTTAATTATTAATTTGTATATTTATATTAATATTTCAGGTTATAATCTTTCAAATTTTTTAGAAATAATTTCGTATATTTTTAGCATATACATATATAAATTATTTTATTTAAAATATTTGTAAATTTTCTGAATAAATTCATTGTTTGCACGAATATATTTTTCGAAATTTCGAAGCTTCGAAGGTATCTTAAACTTTGAAAGGTCGAAGCTTCGAATATTCGAAGTAGGTAAAAAGTAACAGCCCTAGTGTTAACCTTCTTTTACTCGAATTTTGATAAGTCGAAAACTCTATAACTCGAAAAGTTTATCTGGTCCTTTGAGATTCGAGTTATCGAGGTTCAACTGTATACATATAGCGTTGTGTCACTTTTTCATTACACGGTGTTATAGCAAAATTCTCTCCGAAGTACAACCATACGTTCCCGAATTTTTTTTCGCGCTGAATACGATGTCGTTGGCAGAATTCACCTAGCACGTCAGGGTTTTGAGTAAATTGGAATGAAAGTGGCCAAAGTTCTTTAGTCTGCACTTTCGGCGAATTTTTCAAACGGCATCGTATTCAATGTGAAAAAGTCTTCGGGAAAAGTATGATCGTAATTCGTATTTCGGAGAGAGAAAAAAAAGTGTTTTTTTGTAACACAATGTTATTAAATATTATTAATAATTATTATTACATATTTAAGCATATATAATTTTAATATTTATCAACCGCACAATGTAAATTCGACGTTTTCACGTCGATGATTTGTTAAAATGCGTAATTCATGGAGTTTGTTCGAAATCTGTCGTCGTACGGAGCAGTCGGCTGTACAGCTGAATTTTCGGATTACATTCCATGGATTTTTACATTTAATTTTAACTCGCGCCTATTCAATCGCCCGAAAACGCGAACGTCGGGAATGCCGTGTACGAAATGCCTCGTGATTGATATACATATTTCGGTAATTAATGCGCGAGTGATCGTGATTAATCGTACTTTTGTGAGCGAGTGTCACATCGTTTTGCAGTGCTATAAACGAAGAAGCAATGAAGGAGCTTGAGGAAAAAAAGAGGGGATCGAGGAAAAGACTGAAATGGCATCGTATTGATGAATAAGAGCTAAATTATCGTTAAAGTTAAAGAAATTTGAGTAGATTCGCGGGAAGATTCGGGACTTCCTTCTTCTTTTCGAGTAACTTAACCGAAGAGTGAATAAGTTAGCTATTTCGAATCTGAGGTATGGAATTCATAAGCATAATTTAGCAGTGCTTGGGAGCGTCGAAATTATTGACCTTTATCTCTTGCGAGAGGAATCTCCGGTACGCCGGCTACGCATAGTTTGGCTCGAGTTTGCAGTTGCGCTCGGTAGTAAGCGAGCACTAATCGTATTCGGGAGCAAAGTATCCGCGCGCGTAAACAGGTTCCGCCGAAACGGCACGGCGAGACGAGACGAAATCGTTACCTCGCGATGCGGAAGTATCCGGAAGTATCGACGATCGCATCAATTTCCGCCCCAACTTGCACCGCATCGCTCGCGCTCTTCTCCGAATCAATTGAGACGAAACTTTGTACGGGCCGCGCTCGTCTGACGAGCGGAAATCGTAGGGAGGGAATTTAAGAGTTGCAGAAAAAAAAAATCGTGAACGAGAGACGCTTGTACTTTCGCCTGGCTTGAATTTAGTTAAATAATACACGATTGTAATAGCGAATTCAACCAAGGCAGGAGTTAAGTACATATGCCTACCGAAACACAAAGCCGTTACTATGCAACTTTAATCACGTTTAAAATACGGTAGATCACTGATAGCTCGAAGCATCCGTCGGCATGACAGCTTGACTTGATCCGCCTTCTTGAAGCAGAATTTACGATGAAAAGGCACATTTTTGTTTAGGGACAATTTAATTGCACGGACTTTTATGGGCCGTTTATAGACTGATATAATTGTTTCGTTCGCGATAAACGGTGGGAAGAGTCACGGGTGATGGGTTTACGGGTGACCCGGCAATTTTCGACGACTAAACTTCATGCGTCGGCGCGACCGCAAAGTTTCGTTATTTATAGGCCAACCTGAGTTCTCGTCTGGGGTGCGTTCACCGCGCGATCGCAGCCAGATTCCAGCGTTTATTATGTTACGCGGACGCGTGGTGCCATGTTATGCGAAGAAATTCGCGCAACTGAATTTGCTCATGTATATGTGGGCCGCGTATCGATGTTGACAAAATTAAATTTTTGGATACCGTTCTAAACGTGATATCTGATATTTCGATTCGAATTTCATAGGGCAGAATTAGGAGATTATCGCCGTGAGAGAGTTTCATTTGTAATCTTAGCATCGCGTCGTATTGTTTTAGTTGTTCGCGATTTCTTTTTCACACGTTTTCCATGCAAAAAAAACTCTTCCGCATGTGGCAGAAAGCATATTATTATATTTTATATTAAAATAAAAACTTGTTATTACAGTAGAAGAGAATAGCATTGAAAAACGTTTTCTGCTGAAACATTTTTGATCCTTTTTAGAAATTTTATCATCAATGTATCATAGTTTATTTAAAAGCACAAATTTTGGCAATGACGTGGAAGATGACGTATCTGCATTAGAAAAGCTTTTTCTAGATAGATGACGACGACGTGTATAAATATAAATTAGTGACGGGATAGACACGCGACATTTTTGCTAAGCCTACACTTGCACTGACACACTCTAATTTTTTATTCATTATATTATGGAATATTAGTAAAATGATTGCATTAGAATATTTAATTTTAAATATTACTCTTCTAAAATCATAAATTTTATGTATTATGATAAATTATTCATAGATATTATTAATACAAAGAGCAAAAATTATGCATATAATACTAATGTTACATGAATCCGGAAGTAATAAAACAATAGTGACGTTGTTGAACGACATAAAATATTACTATGCCAGCCTCAAGAGAAGTTAGGGAGTGTTGCAGCCAGTTTATGAGCATTCATAGAGGATATGACATTGAACTTAACTCGTTAATAACTTCCGGTCGTAATTGAAACGAACGCAAACACGTGTCGTATGTACAAAATAGCTAACTTATTAAGCTTATTAATGAAGCCCTCAATGTCACTTATTTATTGTAAAAATTGCAAAATATGTGTGTATCATATGTTGTTTTAAAAATTGCTAAATAATGAATAATTACATTTTATTGTTTAAAATTATATATTATTTTTATTCTATTGACATCTCTTACAACAAAGTTATTATACACATTGTATTAATTTATTGATTTCAATTAATAAATTTAAATTTGTAGGAGAAGTTATTAGGAACGAAGTAAAATCGAATATATATCGTGAGACAAGTTTATTGTAATTGCTGTCGATTCGTAGCGCGACTAGAGAACGACTGACGACTCACAGATTTCTAACAACCGTGTCGTTCAAATCGTTAGGATCGAAAACGAGGAAATACAAACAAGGTCGAAGTATACCGAATATTGCCAAGCACGAATGTCGATTGTTGATACATATTTTCCTACAAATTTATTATAATTTATTAATTTAATAAATAAATTTAAGTTTCTTTTATTAGAACACAATAATTAACTGTTAATGTTAATATAGAGAAATGTTTAGTTAGAAAAATAAAATGTGTAGATTCAATATATCTTACAAATAAAATAATATAGTATAATATAATATATGATATTAGTATTAAATACTTTATTCGAATATTATAATAAAAAAATATTTCTTTAAGTGATATAATAGATTTTCTTTGAATATAAATATGCTAATGAAGATTTCTGACTTTGACATTTATATTGTCACATAGAAACAATTGTTTTTGTTTCATGTGAACTGAAATAACTTCCAAGAGACGGAGAAATAAGTTACTTAATAGATTCGCGAGGCCGTTTCGCGGTCATTTCTTGTTATAATTCACCACGCGTGCAAATTTTGATGTGGACTGTGACGGGCGGAGAATTACGAAGGGCGGATCTATAATGTTAAATGAAATTGCATAGGGGTCAAGTTTGAGGGTTTGCACGATGTAATCAAATAATGTGTCGAAGAGGTCGTAAGGTAATCAGTTTAGAAAATTTGATTCTTTTGTAAAGATCGTTTATTTATAAAAGTAAATAAAAGCTGAATCATTAAGATATAATTAAGTTAATTTTGAAATACTATATGCCGCCGTGTTTTCTTATTACAAGCGATTTTATATGTGTCTGCTTAGCAAATGTTTTCGTTGGCGTTGCACTACAAATTTTAAAACCTAGTAGTAATGCTTTCGAAAGGGGTGTCGACTTTTAAAGTTGGTCAGATTCCAGAATTAATTACAGCGATTTTTTACGATATTGATGATACGAGTAATAATGACGGAATTTCCAGCAGTATTCAGCTTTGCTTTATTTATTTTCCTTTATCTCTCTCACGTAACGCGAAATGTGATTTAGGAAGAGAGAAATTTACTCGAGAAATTGAATTGATTTGAACGAAATTGTTGGCGTACTTTACGAAATCGTTAATGGAAACTCACCTAGAACGCAAGATGTAAGAAGAATTCGCAGGGCAAAGCTCTTCATGGTACGAAAGTGATCCTCGATAGCGTCGATATAGGTAAACCTCGGTGGCAAGTTGAATCGGAATAAAAAGAGCGACGCGATTTACGTCAAAAACACGCGTTCTTATCTATATTTAGACCACACTTCAGTAATAGCGCCGGTTGTACCGAGGAAGAACGATGCTGGAGAATAGTGAAGACTGTTTGCCGCGGTATCGGAGCAATAGTACTCTTCCGGTCTCGTTATATGTCAGCCGTATCGCGATGCCGTGCAATCAGAGGCCAATTTGATAAAATCACAGGCAATTCTTAATCCAATAATTTATTCCCTCTTTCCTCGCGAATTCTAAAATTTATTCTAACTATATTTTATAGATTAGAAAAACTTATTAACTGCATGTATTAATAATTTTCATCGGTCTGTCAATTTTTTTACAAAATTGGCACGAATTTAAGGTGAAGTGTTGCTTCGTGAAGTGGTTTCGAGTGTAAAATTTGTTGATAATAATGGAAAAATTTTTTCAAGTTAATACGAAACGATGAATTCAGAAACATTCGCGACTAGACATTATTCTGTGCCGCGATTACCGGTGTAAATGCTGTCGAAGCGATGCGCGACATGAGGGAGACTGATCGCGCCCAACTCTAATTTTCTGTCTCTTCCTCCTCTTCGCTTCTTCCCGCTAGGCCGCCTCCTACGGCGGAGGTGGTAGTGTCTCCTTGAAAATTCACAGTATTTTTTGTTTGCTTTTGTAGGATTATGATATAAAGTGCAAAGCAGTATTACTGGCGAAAAGGTAATCAATAAAGTATGTCTTTTAAAAATAAATAGGTAAAATAAAAGGTTCACAAATTTCATGACTGCTGCAACGGTTAATTAAATTTCAATTTCTCGTTTACACTATATTATATACAACTTATATTGTTGTAGCTGCCATACGTTTATCAAAGTAATGAAAAATTTTATAAATTTTCTTGCACAGTAATGTAAGTAAAATTATTATTAAAATTCGCATTATCAAATACAAATCTTACTTTAATTCAATAGAGAATATACATTCAAATCATTGATCAGTAACTGCGTAGAATTAATTGATAATAATTATGAATTCTTTGGTGTATGTTATAAAGAGAGAACTTGAATAACTCTGATTATCAGTATGACACAGGAATGTGACTATGATAAGAAAAGTAGTATTCTTATCTTAAGAAAAATAGTTAGAAAAAAACTTTGTTTGGTCGGAAAAAGAAGTAATGTGGAACTTATTCGTGTTCTACGTATGCACGAATAACATCCTGTACAAGCATAGGAATTATAAGACTGTTACATGATGTATATACAAAGATTAGGTAGAATTTTTTATTATATTAACGTTTTAGTGAATATTGTATTGTTTATAATTCAAATTATTATATACGTTACCGCACTGAGGATGACCCTAGACGAGGGTCGAAACGTTTATTGCGCTGTTATTCTGTATACTTGAATGTTATAATAAAATACATAATATTATGTAACTAGCACCGTCATTCAGCTTGGCTTACTAGCCACTTTTTTTTACTAATTATTACAAGAATTCGTTAGAAGATATCGATAAATAAGTTTTAATATAGCATTGCTATAAGGCAATTGAATTTCTCAAGATATGATTTTTATATTTATAATTATGTATTTTATTTTAAAATGAAATTTGTGAAGTTTTTACATCATAATTTATAAAACTATACATTTAACTGTATTTTCCGCCAGTCAATAGTGATTCTCAAAATTGGAATAAACCTCTAAAGAATGGAGATTGACGAATGGAATATAACGTATTATCAATATTTATTTATTTCACTGATCATGACAAAGTAATAATTACGTAAAGCTGTTAAAAGTAAAACCCCGTTATCACTAGATTGTATATTATATTTACAAGTATAGTTTGCATCTGACAAAACCTTTTGTGTGACATATTTGTTTTGTTTTTTCTTTAATATTATATATATATATTTTTTCATATATATATATATATATATATATATATTATCCTGTAAATACATATACATATATATCAGACATATGTATACATATTTTTTTCGGTGGCGCATAATCCTCGCTTATCGTACAAAGATAAAGCGGATAAAGCTAAGGTTTAGTTTTTTGCTCTCTTTCCCTTTCTCTCATAGTCACTCAAATAAAAATAAATTGTAAGCGCCGTCACTGTCATAAGAAAAGATTATTGTACCCAAAACCCCGCTCAGTGAAGTAGTCCAAGTAAAATAGTCTAATTAACAATAAATTATTAAATATCTATTCACAAATGTATGTATAGGCTATTATTATTACTATCATCATCATCGCCGGACACTGCCATTCTCGCCGTTATTCTCGATGTCATTATCACTATATTTTTTTTACATACACACCGCCGAAGGTTTATTGTATCTGCGTGTGTTATCAATGTGGGGATCGGAAGTTTGTGAAATTTCATGGTGAATTTTAAGAATTAAAATATTGAAAACATATTGAGATGGATAGTCATGTTTGAATCGCCATAAACATTCATGATTTATCACAAGTAACCGTCGATATTGTAAAAGTTCACCATAAAATCCAACTAATTTTTAATAATTTATTCTAATTATTATATAACAATTATGTGATTATCGCTGTGATAACAAAAAAATTTTGTATTACAAAATGAATTCTCTTCGTAATGTCTTCTTGGATGAGATATTGTACATATATACTGTTTTGCGAATCATCTCGAGCGAGAGAGAATTACACCAATGGTTAACTAATAATCTACAATAATCAGTATACAGAAAACAATAGTCTAAGCATAGAATATACAGTGATACTATTTTAAACGTAATATGCGGTATTATTTAATTATGGGGGTACATCTTTTCTGGATAATATTCTTAATTATGATACTATTGGGAAATAAAGATTTAATCATCAACGATTAACGTTGTCCAATTTGGTGTAATTCTTCTCTAGATTCTCCTTTAACACAGATACTTGACAAAGTTGAATTGACATCTGATAAACGTTATAATAGGTTATATAAAACGAAAATGACAATGGTTATTATCGACTGTCACGCTTTAAAATTCAATCATAATAAAAAACCGCGTAATCGCGTAGCTAATCATTTTGCTTCATTCAGACACATAAGAGATGCGCGCGTTTTGCGCGTGCGTGTGTGTATATATATATATATATATATATAATATATATATATATACAATATATATATATATATCTCATAATGCAATAATCTTCCTATTTGTTTGTCCATCTATCTTTCTGTATATGTGTATGTGTTTTCTATTTTGCCCTTGAAGATGATGTTTCGAGGTCTCGCCTTTGGAACGTCATCCTACCGGAAAACCGTAGCGCAACAACTCTGTGGATTATGTATACATTAAGTAACTTTCCGGCCGTTCTCATCATCGACGAGTGCGATGCTAACTGATTGTTCGGAAATTCAATAATCAGACACCTGCACCAGGGTCAAATTTACTTGGAGGAAACATGCTTTACAAAATCTCATTTGTGACCTGTCTCGTAAAAAATCAGTGCCCCCTGCGACAAAAGTAATCATTGATTGACTGTAACTGAAAAGTACCTCCTGCAACTGTTTAATTACAATTGTAAGTCCGACCCTGAAACACCGCGAAAATGCGTGTCTTTGAGATATATATGCTACTGCTTCTAATTGTTTCTCGCTGGATATTGCAGAATCCAATTTGTGGACGAATTAATTCTTACATTCGGTATAAGCGCTATACAATTATATGGTGTTTCTTTTCTCTACAGTCCCACTCTATATCTCGCACTCCTCGTATAGAATATGACTTTCTTGTAATCTTTATATATACACGTCTCTACCTCTCATTATAGAACTTTGCTAGTTAATCGTTCGCTAGTTAACTGCTTTACAACTACGATATTCGACTGACTTGCAATGATAATCGCATCGTCGTTGCGAATCGCATTCGCGTACATTCGGTTCTATACACCCTCTCCGAGGGGTTTTCTCTTTTATTTCATTCTATTTCGATTAGCACGCCATACAAAAAGCACGCACGCTCGCACCGCAATCGTGAGAATGACAGTTTGGTTTGTGTACTTTCTCCTCTCTTCCTTTGTTAAAAAATTCAGGAGGTCGGGAGAGATTGGACTGGGTAGTAAAATTGTTGGATAGTCAAAATCTTTTTGAGGAACATCGATAAAAAACGGGGGAAAGAGACGCGTGTTAAATGTTAGTGTTACAAAACGTTGCACGGGAACGTTTTTTTAAAAACGGTGGTTCGACGATTTATCGCTATTTTCCTCTTTTCTTTTTTCTCTCTCTTTTTTTGTTTTTTGATTGACTGACAGTTTCATTTTGGGAGTTTTTACAAAACAAGTCTACATATATCGATACCCGGTGTCGACGTAAAACTTATCCTCATTCGGCTATATGAAAGCAATTCACGCATAGTTTCAATTAATAACGACAATCCACTGAATTCGTACGCGATGTAACGCGTCAAAACTTAACATTTGAAAGGATATTGGCAGACACTCGCACAGAGTACATACATAAAAGGACGTCATTAACAATTTGATTTATTTACAATTTAATCAATGCTTTTCTCTCCTAATAATGACGAAATTTCCAGTCTTAATAACGCTTCTTCGCGTCCTTCTGGCAGAGTTGTATATATCCCCAAAGTAACTATTGACGAAAAAGAAAGGAACGCGACTGGAATCACCAATTACCCCTGCCGTGATCTTTAGAGAATGTTGAAAATGTTAACGCTATGAATATACATTTAGGTGTAAAGTAGATCGCTTGGCGCTGCGGCTGCTAAAGGAAATGGGGCGAAGCATTTACATTCTCTCGCAACATATTCTTCTATTTTCATAACCCTTTCGCTCTCGTTCTCTCAGCACATTCTCACTTTCTTTATTTTTTTTTTGTTGCTATTTACAAACGTGTAGCTTAAATAACGTTCGTTAACATTTTCATTCTGCTTTTTCTCACTCTCAATCTCCTCGCGCTCTATCTGTCTCTCTCACACTTTTTCTCTCTGTCGTTTACCTAAAATAATTATTTTAATTCAAAATGTATCGGTTCGCGCTCTAAGCGCGATCGAAGGGCAGAATAATTTTTCTTCGTTACCCTTCATTAATTCGCGATTTTATTGTGTTACACAATGGGTCAAAATCGGAATAATAACGGCGTTTATACAAATAACATCTTTTATATCGTAAAGTTAACGCTTTTAAAAGAACGAATGAAAGAAAATAGAAAAATAAAAAATGCAATCGGTTTTGTCGTAATAGAAATTTTTTCCTCAATTATTATAAACGATTACGTTGAAAGAATTGGCGAGAAAAGCGTTTTGTTAATTCGAAGGAAATCTCTTCAGTCTTCTGTCACTATATAATTCTGATCCACTGTGTATCGTCGTATTATTATTATATATATATATTATATATATCTGTCGGTTCCATCACTGCCGAACGAGAATTGTCAGTATCGTTCAATCTGTCGTGAACTTGTCTGGCTTATAAAGAAGAGGGAGCCGGGCGGTACAGAGGATTGCCCTTGATAGGAAGCACATGAGCCTCGGAGTTGAATACCCAGTCGTCCAGACTTATGAGATCGTCGTCGCTGAAGAGCAAATAGAGATACTGGAAAGAGAGATAAAATATTTTCACATTTCATATTTTCGTACCTATTGTTATACTTTCGTAACGTACGTATATTTTTATTAACTTCTACTCTCCTCTTTCCGCGTTATCTAACTGATTAAATAATATTCTCTATTGGAACGTTTCTTTTTACCAAATATTATATCTATTATATTTTTGTCTCTATAAACATTCTAATTACAAAAATATTACATATACATATATACGTTTAAGTCACACTTTACGAGAAGTAGCATAAACCGAATCGAAACGATGCTTCGTTTCTCCTTACCTTCAATGTTTCAGCAAAGAAGTAACTTTGTTGAACATCGTCTTTCGCGGAGTCGACTAGGTAAACATTGTTAAGTCCCGTGAATCCTCCGGGAACCCGACAATGTTTTTCCAATGCTTGAACTGCCTCCCAACCCCATTCGCGATATTTTGGATCCTTTGTTAACCGCCACATTATGAAGTAGGATTCGAAGGTCTGTGGAGAGAAATGTATTTCGTTTTACCATTTAGTATAATTAAATTATATCAACCTTCTCATAACAAAATTTTAAATAAAATGAAAAATTAGTTTTCTTTGTACGTTATAATTTTTGTTATAAACTTACAAACTTAATAACTAAAATAACTAAATTTACTACTACTTAATAACTAAAAAGAAAAAATATATCATACTTAATTTACACAAACATGAAGAAGTTATAAATCCATTTGTACGTTATATTTTTTTCGCGATTAAAAATAATTTGTAAAATAATTTTAAGTATAAAAAACTCTTTCTCTCTCTTTTTCTCGAGAGAAACTAGCTCAGTTAGAAACTGTCAGTTTTATCAATTCGCGCTAATTATACTAATTTTGGTTGAGAGCGCGGGCGACTTACCTCGGGTCGTAGAATGTAATATTTTTCGCCATTCTTTAAGCTTCTGGCCTCGTTGCCCTCAATAAAGTGGAAAGCTTCAGGGCCGAGTTTTGTAGCGCTTCTGTCATATGATTCGTGACACGTGTGGGTCAAACCAGCGGCGATGTTCATGTACTTTTCCGACAATTCGTTTTCCAGAGTTTTGGCGCCCAGCGCAAACATACCGCCTACAAAGCACGCAATGATAACATTATTGACTAGGTTCTTTTGTTGAATTGATCACTATATATTGACGTAAAGAAGTAGAATAATTCGTGATGATAAAGCTTTAATTAAGAGTAAATAATTTTTCTACTTAATATATCGTAAACTTTAATAGCTACTTAATGAAGTATTTGTAAATAGATTATTTAGGCCGCATGTATACACAAGTATCGACATTAGGGCTGTTACTTTTTGCTCGCTTCGAATATTCGAAGCTTCGACGTTAACTTCGACCTTTTGAAATTTAAGGTGCCTTCAAAGCTTCGAAGCTTCGAAGTTTCGAAATTTTGAAAAATTCATTAAAAATTTGAATTTTTTTAATTAGATTGTTTTATTGATCATTATCTTTCTTTATCTACACGTGTATCTAGTTTAATTATTAATTTGTAACATTTCAGGTTATAATACTTTCAAATTTTTTAGGAATAATTTCGTATATGTATATTAATTCTTTTTATTTACAATATTTGTAAATTTTCTGCATAAATTTATCATTTGCACGAATGTATTTTTCGAAATTTCGAAACTTCAAAGCATCGAAGCTTCGGAACTTCGAAGGCACCTTAAACTTCGAAGCTTCAAAAGAATTCGAAGATTTTAATGCCGAAGCTTCGAATCTTCGAAGCTTCGAAATTCGAATGTCGAAGCCTTCGAAGCAAATCACCAGCCCTAATCGACATCGCTCGAGCTCGACTATTACGCCGTAAAGATAATGGTAATTACATTAATGCGTATAAAAACTCACCGGCGAAGCAAGCCAAGTGACCCATTTTATGCTCAAGCCTGTCGTATTTCAAATCCGACACGTAGACAAGTTTACCAGGGGATGTCTTGATCATATGCTCGGTTATAGCAGCTACAGCATCGTCGTACATTTCACGTGCCTCGACGTCTTCCTTGCCCGATTGGATCCAAGCTTTCAGTAGATACTCATAGAAACTGTCGCCGAGTCCACCGAGCGACATATGATCTGCAATTCCCATGAAAATATATTTCTGTCTTAAATAGATTTCACGCAAATTCAAAAAACCTCACGTCATATTTCCCTGAAAAATCATTAAGCGAGGCCCTATTTTTTTTTTCATTTTTTACACGAATTCTTCAACAAATTTATTTTTTCTGATATAATTTCTAGATAAATATGTTAGGCTGCTTACAGCTTTTGTGTTATGAGCGATTAAAGGATAAAAGGCTTTTATAAATTGATAAAAAAGGATTTCACTTGGATTTGAGTAAAGAATAAGGGAATGGAAAAAAATACGGAGATTCTAAGATACTACATCGTCTTATTATGTTCTCTTTAAATTAAATACTGTAAAAAAGACTGTACATATATCTTATTATCAAAGTTAATTGATAATTGATTATTAAATAAATTTATGTAATTTAATGTCTAAGAATTTGTGTTAATATCGATATATTTGATAAAGTAATTTATTCTCTCAATATTCATAATAATTAAGCTCGATCTTATCTTAGACGTTAAAATAATTAATTTGATTAATTTAAGTAAAGATTTAACGATTTCAAACGAGCGCATACATTCTTCGGCATGCGTTATATTAAGAAAATTTTAGAATAGAAATAATAAGAGAGAGATTTGCTTTCTCTCATTCAAAAATTTCTAGTGCACCGCCGATTACTCTTATTTGCCATTCCTTTCATGTTAAAGCGGAATTAAAGACTTGTGGGTGACTCGTTTTGCAAGATAAAATACTGTTCGACTGCTTTAAAAGAGATACTGCTTTAAAACGGATAGCAACGGTAATCGCTGCGCGATAAAGGAATGTCGGAGGAATCTTTTTCCCGGAAAAAAGAGGGGTTTGTTCTCCGAGCTACAGGTCTACTTCGATCACGTTTGTGGGAGGTGAAACAAAGGGCACATTTCTTGATTTCTGCTGAGTTAATTCCTAGGTGCCTTGGGCTAGCTAAAAGCACGGCTCCCATGTTATGTGAGATCTGCGATGAAAGGACGTACGGACCTCCGCTCTTTATCTTTTCGTTCATTATTCCCTCGGGAATACAGTAAGAACGTTATCGCGCAAAAAAAAAAACATGAAGATTAGCCGAGCCACATGAGATTAAACTCCCATTAAACAAATTTTAATTATGATTCGAAGTTGACAAAGTATACTTTGACCGCTGTATTTGATTTTTTATTCACAAAGAGATAATACGTTACATCTTTTTATTAAAAGAAGCCAATATTATATTGATTTTTATTGTTACACTCAGAGAAGGAAATGTTCGAACTAATAAAGATCAATGATGTTTTTCATTCAGAGAGATATAAAGGTTCATCATAAAAATTGTGCATTGATGTAACAATACATTTTATCAGTGAAATTGCATTAAATGCCAGTTATTGTGATATCAAACGAATTTGACGCATTAATTATATAAGAATTGCTTGGTCCATTATTATATTTTAAATGCGTTTTAGTCGAAACGTCAATTCTGTTTATTTGAGCAAAACGATTTTTTCTCGGTGCACTTATGTATTATAAGTGTCCAGCAGGGCGAAATGGTGAAAAATGTGGGAAGGATGTGCGATGAGGCACTGCCGGATACCGAACGGTTTGGATGATATATATCCCCGAGGATCTCGTCATACGTGCAATGAGAAGGTACGCAGGCGCAGGGGATTTAGGATCCGAGGCAGAGGATGATAAATGCGATATTCAAGATCGAGGCTGTGGCGAGGACGGCGCCGACGACGGCCGCGGCGGAGCAGCTTTTCGCGAAGCGACGTGAGCCGACGCGATGCGATGCGAAATAGTGAAAAAAACGGGGCGATCAAAGTTGCGCGGATTTTCTACTTCGCGGCTGCGTGAAAACTATTTTCACGTTAATGTATAATTGATAGCCATAAGATTAAAAATATATTTCGCGTAAAATGTACTAAACGCGCTCGACGATTTATAAAATGTAAAATTATAGTATTATAATAAGTCATCAGATACATTTATATCGATCCGATATCGCCTGGCTAAAGACATATTTAGCGATATTTTTTTTAAACTTTTGATTTAAACTTTTGATGAATTCAAACGTATAAATATAAATATGAAAAACATTATTATCGTAGACGTCGATGCGAAAATAATAATAGTGAGACTAAAGCAATTAATTCTGCGATACAAAAACGAATATACATAGCGAAGGGATAACAGAGACGTAATATTCTACATTTTTGGAATACACATTCCTTTCCAGCGAATGGTTCATAAATAATTTTCAAAACAAATTACGTTTGCGCGCCCGGATATGCATACCTATGTTTGCAAATATTAATTAAAAAGATATATCAGAGAGATATATAAATATAACGCAGATTATTAAGATTCACACTTACGTTGACCCCACTTTCCTGTTCTCGGGTGAATATAATTCGGGTATAGACCTTTCGGTTTGTCCAGGCTCTTCAGGACCTTCCTTACGTTCTCAACCTTGCTCTTGAACACTGGATTATTCGTTATATCGCTCAAGTAGGTAAACTCAAGATGCATTGTCCCGATTTCGGATAAAATACTGCAGCCGCTGCTCGCCCAGCCGTAATTCTTGCTGGCCTGAAAAATAAGCGCAAGTTTCTAGCTAAAACACATAGCGAGATATAAAATCAACGGTAATAAACGGATAGGTCAAGTACGCCATTATTTTAGAAAATTATTATATAATATAATTTAGCAACAGAATAATGTGAAAAATTTTGCTATGTGTCTAGAAAAAATTCTCTAAATCTGAATCAGTGGATAATCATTGATTATCATTAGTTATTCATTGAATGCATCAGTTCCAAATATATTGTTGGTAATCAGTGAAATTCAACTTCATTGTCTCTCGGAAATCACTAATAAATAAGTAAATAATCGCTATAATCGCTGACAAATCAGTGGATTTCGCTGTTCTTGCTAATTGCACAGATTCAGCTCTGTTTCACTTATTCATTAGCGATGCAAGGCGTTACTAATTCAATCTACTTTTTCACTGATTCAGCTTTAGAGAGAAAGGAATCAAAATAAGAAATATCGATTTATATTTATATTAATTTCATTTTTAACTATATACATATATACGTGTGTATATTACAAAGTTATTAATCCTTATAATAAGTCGTAACTTATTAAAGAAATCTGGAATATAATTGTGTAATTTATATTTTATAAGAGAATTTACTTGATTACTATCCATTTTTTTATCTATGAAAAGCAAATACATTGTAATACAAACAGCATAATATCCATAAAATAGGCGAAATAAAAGCTATAATTCTTTATGAAAAGGATCAGGATATTAAGAATAATATGGAAATTTTATAGAATGAAATTCTATGCGGTTTTAAATAATCAAAAGCCATTGTTAAAGCGTCGAAAATCCAAAGAAACGAAGAGGCAATCTGTTCATCGGATATCGCTCGAATACTGTAACGAGGATTTGAGTAGATGAAGATCAGTTGGGAGAAGCATAATCGCTTTATAATTTAATCTAGCCAATTAACCTGCCCACTATAATTTCATCGCCGTAAGATAGACGGTTGTACGCGCGACGTAGCGTTTGCATATGTTATTTGTTGCAAAGGGGAAAAAGAGAATATAAATTTTTCTCAATGCTACGAATACATCGCAGCAATTAAGTTGTTAAATGTATTGTGTTATAAAAAATGTTATGTATATAATTGATACATACACAACAAATTTTCGTAATTTTTATTGCATAATATATGTACGATATTATATATGTTTATATATTTAAATTTTATATGTTTGTACATTTAAATGGATAGCTGCAGGAGTATTGAAAAAATTATCTGCGTATTGTTTTTCGCGTTATATACAAAAGAGAACGGACGGGAAGAGAATACGCTTCGAGTGAAACGATCAGACAGAATAATAAAATATATGAAATTTTTTGAGCCGACAAACATTTTTCATCATTCCTTTCTTTCATGCCATTTCAAATTAATGGAAAATTATAACGTACGGCGCGGAGATAGACACTCGCTAATTAGCCGCGCCCATTGAGAACGCTAATACGAATTATGAAGTTATCAAACGGGTATAAAGTCAATCGGCGTACACACGTTGCGTCGTGATTAAATCCGAATTTTTTTTATTTCTCCTTTTCCCATACTCTCAGCATGCGCGCGCGAACTTCATTTCTTCGATAAAACTGTATATCATTCTATTATTACTATTCTATTATTACTATCCATTTGGTGTACTTTCAATTTACGTATACGGATATCAAATTAAAATACATGACACAATTTATAAAAGCATCTCAATTACATATTTTTTTTCTTCTTTACGTTATGATTATAAAAAAATTTAACATATGCTATTTTCAATGGGTATGTTCTTTTGAAGTACTATAAGTAAGTAATATAATAGAATAACTGTAACTAGCAAATAATAATATCGTAATAATATATTCTTGGATAAATTTTGTATTCATTTGCATAACATTTTTCATGCTATTATAATTGTATATACAAATAATTGGTTATTTTATTGCCCTACAATTTTTTTAAGTAACATCTTATCATCAATTAAACATATGATATATTGATAAAATATATGATACATCGGTAAAATTGATTTCAATTTAAATTGCTAACACCAAACATGTAATAAGAGCTTTTCTTTCATTAAAATTAATCGATGACTCTTTTATAAGAGAAATCTTTTTCTTTATTTAACTTCTAAATAATCACGTTATTTTATCGCCGGTCTTGGTCGTTATAAACGGATATAGAAAAGGGAAAGCAACAGATTACGAACGGACATATCGTTCATCGTACAGAGCCAAAGGCCGTATCCGCCTCCTGCGGCCTCATTATCCATCCAATTAAGAATTTGCATATTAATCGCGCGTCGCTATTTCGACAGACGTGACTTGATGGAATCGTTTCAATTAAAGCGCAACATCATTGCCATATACGATGCTTAACAAGAAGCGCGCAAGAACGGAAACACCACGCCCTGGAGTAGCTTTTTTTTAAGTTATAGTCATGCGAGTAAGGGCCGTGTTGTAATTGTGTTATGCATTTTATACCGCGTGTTTCATTCGTTAGTAGATCAACGGATCGTTTGTTGAAAATTGTTTTACGCAAACAGATTTACGAAAACCTGTAGATCACACATTAATTTTATTACAATTTTTTGATTATTTAAAAAGTGATATACATGTTTATTAAGCAATATCACAAAATGTGACGAAAAATACCAAAATTTAACAACAATATAACAATATAATATTCCAATAACTTTATTTCGTTGTAAATAACGAAAATACATCAAAAACGTAATTTAAATTAAAACTTAATTAAAGAACAGTTTTTTTTCACAAAAACTCAATATATCTCCAGTAATCCGCAATTTAGATATAAAATAATCTATGAAATATAAAGTTATAATATATATAAGATATGAAATATAAAGTTTCTAGAATTCACGTTTTGAATGCATATTTAGGTGATCAATATATATATACATATATAACTTGTGAAGCTTTTTTTACTGGAAGTTTTTAATCATAATTTTTTGTCGTAACTTATAACTTTTAACTTTCAACATTCAATATTGAACATCTTGGTAATAAAGATGTTATCTCAAGAAAAAGTTTTTCTTCAGAACTCCTTTTGACTTGATTTTAATTTCATTAAAACATATTTATATGTGGTTTTGATGCAACCTGTATAAATTTACGATATTACGTATCCGTGATTTCTTGTTTTATCGCGATAAATGAGTAGATCCTTTTTTTGGGGGGGAGGGGGGAGAAACAAAGTTAATGTAATATCAAAGTACATCGAACCCGTCTCGGCTTGTTGATGCGAGGCACTGGCGAGTTATGGCAACGAAAAGCCGCACTTACCCCGGTATGGAGGTTGATGAGGGAATGAGGAATTCCGGTTTCCGTCTGGAAGGCAGGCAGCATCCGTTCGCCGAGCTGCGCCGCCTTATCCCGGAACATCACGTCTCCCGTGAGAGCGTAACAGGCAAGCAGGCTTCCCATGAAACGAATATTCGTCTCAAACAGCGATATTTCGGAGTTCTGAAACAAAACGAGCGAAACGTTCGGATTAATAACGCGTTGATCGTTTATTCGTGGATGGAAAAATTACGATAGTATGTAATATTGCGTATCGCACACATACACACATGCATACACGTATCCGTCATCTTCTCATATAATCGATTCTTATAGCGATTATACGTTCATTAACCCTTTCGTTCCCATTGCAGCTGTTGGCTACGTATGAAATACGTTGTGAAATAAAATATTATTGCGGTTTATATCTGTGAATATATATAATAGTTCTTTATAGTCTTATATACATAATTTTACGCGGGTAAACATTTTAATAGGTATGTTATTTAAAAACTTCTCGCTAACGCATAGAGTATCATAGTATTTTTGTTATAATTTATCAAGCATACATGGCATATCAAGTATCATAGTTTTTTATTTGGAGCTATTACAGTTCGGTGAAACAAGTTATTAGGTATTATAAATGTAATAGCTTATAGAGGTTGTAGAATTATAACTTCCTTAACATATTTTGGGTGGATTTAAAAGTAAAAAAATATTTTCCCATATACACAGACATCATGTATAATAACTTTGCAGTGTAAATTAAATTAAATACACGGAAAGAACGATTTTGTTGAAAGATCTAAAAATTTTGCTAAATACAGATCTGAAAATAATTTTTTATTAAATCATCAAAATAATTTGTT